GAGAATGCTACGAGCTGTATTTACTCTCCAAAAGTAGATTTTTTTCTTTCAGAAGTAGGTGTAAGCAGCCCAGCAAATAGAATAGTGCGTTTTTGCTTCCTGCCGTAACTTAATTTAGCATCATGTTGTTTCACTTGGGCATTTCGTCATCAGTGCAGCAAGATGCTGGGAAGAAAACCCTACAGCGATCAGCTCCAACCAGGAAAAGTACACTGGTAAAAAAACCGTATTTGCTGACTCACATCCTGAACTTCACAATCGCCACGCTGCTGTGGGAATCGCAAACTGGATTTTAAGCGTGTGTGTGCGCGCCTGTCCGGGTATTTTAACTCGGTAACCAAGCAAGCTTTGACGCTGAAATTTTGCCAGTGGGTTCCCCGGCCAAGTACTACCCGAGGAACGCGATATCAGATTTCACACGGATTTCAAGCACGCGCGTGAAATTTTGATGGAAAAACTGCCAGTTCGGGAACCAAGCAAGTTAAGAAGCTGACATTTTGGGAAGATGTTTTCTGTCCACGAGCGATCTAAAGATTTCAAATTTAGTTCCTAGGTACGTATGGTTCATACGTAGAAGCAACTGAAACTTTTGCCGGAAAAACTGTTAGCTTGGGAACTAGAACAGCTGGGTTATTTTCAATGAATGACCGGTCAACGGAAATTATTTATTTCCCTTTACACAAAATTTGCAGTGATAGTAAGTAGTCAAGTGAAATATAAAGCAACAACCATTCATGCAGTTCAGGACCTTATTGCTTCATGTTTAGCGCAAAAACGCATAATCTCACCAGCAAGCCTGGTGCGTTGCAGCCTGGGCTTATCTCGTTTCTAGGCGGCTACCCGCAGCTGCACTCCTGCAAGTAACGTAGCCCGGTGTCTAGATTTGCTGTCTCCCTCGCTCCCCGCCCCCTCTTCATGTCCCTCACTTCATTCCCCACAAGCAAGATTTTTAACACCTTCTGGATAAAAATTAGATCTCTTCGACAGATTTCCATTTTTATGGTCACTTTAAACTTTTCCCACTCAATTACTTCGGCATTTTTGGCAAAAACATTTTCCTCCAGTTTCCTGGATTTACCACTGAAATGAAACAGATTTACCAGCTGTATCCCATAATTCGAGCCGGATTTTGTCACGTCCAAGCTTTATTGTTTTCAGTTTGAAATCCACGCCAAGCGTGCTAATATGATCATGTCGGAATGAGTTCTCCGCGAATCGCAGCAAGATGCACGATTTACCGCAATTGTGATCGCCGACAATAACTATTTTGAACAAATAATTATAACTCATTGTACTATTTTCAGCTATTCAACTAACTGCAGCTTCTAGGGCAGTCCGAAACAAGCCTTCGGTGTCATCCAAATATGCTGAATGTAGGCAGATCAGCACAGACGCAAATAAACAGACGAAAATACGGCAGAAAACGGGGCGCAAACAGAATGGTCGAGATATGAACGATATTGTGGACTGGAAGGAAGGAGGATTAAGGGACGACGAAGTGGGGCTGGGATGCGTGCTGTGGTGATTAGAACGTCAAATATGGCAAGAGCTTCTAATTTACAGAAATAACAATGGTAGTGACCAACAGGATGGGGAGCAGCGTTGTCGGTGAGGGGTACCCGGCTGATCGAAACTGCCCGACGAACACACGCGCAAAAGTGATCCCAGCGCTTCCGGAAATGTACCACACTGTCGCTGCGCAGTTGTAACGGCGCAACCCACACAAGAAGCAATCAGTGCGCGAAATGCGCCGGTGCCCAGCTCGGATTGTGGTGTCCGAACAGTATAGGGGACGATCTGAAGCAGACCAGAGCAGGGGCGCTCACCAGACTTGACCCGCTCTCGCTGGACCACCTTGCAGACACAAGATTTCAGCTTCCTAAAGCAGTCTTGCCTCAAGTGCGGGACCACTACTGGACCCCCTACCCTTCCCAGGACCTCAGCATCCCTCATTCTACTGTTCTGTCTGTGTATGTATGTATGTATGTACGTACGTATGTATGTATGTATGTATGTATGCATGTGTATGTGCATAGTTCTACGAATGTGTATGTATGTGCATGTGGTGTGCGCTCTGCTTCCCGAGACGCGGTCGGATTGTCCGCACTCTGCTGTCCATCTCCACAAACGCTGTCTATTTCAAGGATGTGGAGCACTGCTTCCACATACGCAACACATCCACAGAGAGGGAGGAGAGTGTGCAGCAGGGCAGACATCAAAGTAAGAGGAAATTGAGGAGATGATTCTAGTATGGTTTTAAAAATTGGTAGATGTAAGTGAGTCCCGATGTATGTTCGATGGGCCTACTACGTATTGCAACGATCAGTAATGAGTGGTGGATTCTGGCTGGCTCGACAGGCTCGCATTCCAGACAACCGGCATCCGTTTCCGGTGACTGCTAAACGAGGGCGCACCTCTGTTTGTCCTGTCAGCTCAAAACAGCATTGCCTTCCCAGTTTTCCATTTGCTAAAAACTGTTACGTTTTTCAGGCTGTCAGTGCGAAACGCCGATGCCACTCAGATATTGGGAGGACGTGAAAGTTGATTTTACGCGTCTGAGGTGGCATTCACAGTGCGCTTATTTCTCAGCTTTCTAGTCTTTGTCGTTCCGGATTCAAATCGCTGTGTTAAATAGATACACACTAACCATATACACAGATGTAATTTTGCCGCAATACAATTTATCATAATTTGTACAAAACCGCATAAAAAAAGTCGACAAAGCGTGATTCACAATCAGCCCATTCTGAATCGCAGGTAACTTCCACGCAACAGGTTGTAATTGTCAAGAAAGCAGCGGAAAAGTCCTTCGGCTGAGGGACTCGGCACACAAGCTACAGTAATTTTCACTGTCTGACAGCAGTCGTCAACTCTGGCAGCAGCAAATGCTTCTAGATCGATGGCAGCGGTATCTGAGTTCTCGTTGCTGTTGCTCGTGTGATGAAAAACCACACCTCCGAGCCTTTATTCTATTCGGCGGATAATAACGATCTTCAAAGAGTTTCATACACAACTACAGTGATGCGTCGCTGTGCAGCTCAAGCAACAAAAGATTCACTGCGCGATCGCCGCCCAGCGTTTAGACGTTAAAAGTCCAAGCAATGTAACGGTCTCAATAGGTCGAGAATCTTAGCACACTCTAGACCCTCTTTGTCCCTGCGTGACATCAAATACGCACTATCGTCATTGCGAGAATGATTGGAGACTACGCGGTTTGAGAGCTAATCCCACTCCAGTTGCACATTTGCTTTGAACAGTGCTGCATTACCAAGTGATCAATCTGTTTTGGCTGTACTGCAGTAACGTAGAAAAATCCAGACAAAACAGTAAAAATTCTGGTGAATGTCAAAGCAAATGAAGAAGACCAAGGAGTCTTGTGGAGCGGATGTGGCTGTTTAAATGGTTGGGTGATTTTTCGAACGGATGGAGTGGATGAATGTGTTCGGGATACATGCTGCCACAGCACGCCCAGAGCCAAAATTCGATGCAGTAATTAGACTTTGAGGAAAAAGCGGTTGGAATGAAAGAAACAGAGGGACTGGATAGCAGGAACGAGCATCAAGCCAATGAACACAAATGGACACCATTCTTGCAGTGGCGATGACCCGCTCACGCCAGAACCCTTTCAGCACAGTTTTCCCACCGCGCATCTGTCTCGAAACTGCTCCTTTTGTCTTAGTGTTACTACCTATGATTTGACTGGAGCAAAAAAATAAAAAATAGGGACGCGAGCCAGGGCAGCTCGATGCGATCATGCGTTTTGTGCAATTCCGTTCACCGAACGATTGCCTGCTAATGATTTTCATTGCTTTGCACTTTGGCCTGTGCAAAAATAGTTAAAATGTCTTTTGCTTAAGTTGCGGAATTTCCCACTAAAAATTTCACGCACACGAAATAATAATTTCTCTATCAAAACTTTTATGGGGCTCTATGTGGTATCCAGAAGTGTGTGAAGGCTGAGTTCAAATTTGCGAGGTCGTACGTTTGTGGAGGAAATCACCCTAAAATTTGAGAT